TGGCGCGCGAGGCAGCAAGATTCGCTGTCCCCCTCCTCGCTCCGCCTGAAGCGCGGAGAGCAAAACTCAGCTGCAGCCAATGCAAGCGTCAGCCCACAAGGCGTTAACATGCATGGGCCTTTTCTGCGAAGCTCCAAATGATCCCCACATTGAATGTACAAGACTCCTCCGAGCAAAACCAACCTCCAACAAAATTCGCATCCCCAAACCCAACGCACAATCCGCCTGACCCACCAAGACATCGCCCCAAAAGTCGCCGCCCCAACCCCCGAAATCGCCCGCCGAAATCGCCCCTCCCCGCCCAGGGGCAGCTTCTGGGGCCGCGCGGTTCCGGCTCCGCTGGTGGCGCGGTCCAGGATCTCCAACCAACGGTGGTAGGTCCTGGGCCAAGAGACGGCACCGGGGTCGCACTAGGCAACCCCTTGGGCCATTGGTCAACATCCAAATCGTACCCCCAGTGAACATCAACCAATCCAACCACTGAAATAGGAAACCTAAAATGGGTGGTGAATTCGCCAACCAACCAAAATGGTAGCATTGGTTTTGACCCAATTTTTTTGGGCTAGGGAAGCTTCAGAAGGCCTCCGTATTTAGCGCGAAAATCATCATCTGTTTCACAAAACTGGCTTGTTCTTCTAGTGAAATCACGCCTACCTGACTACAGTTGTCCCTTAGGATATCACCACACAGCTCACATTTCGTGGCTCACTATGCAACCCCCCAAAGAAACAATTGTGTATGCAAGCTAACCAAACGGCACCACACACCGGCACGCGATAACTCTTTTATCCGAGCAGTGTGTTGGTGCCAGGGACTCATCTTCCCCCGTCAGATGACAAAGGCTGGGTGGGCCCCATGGGCCACCCAACTCACAATCTCAAAAACTGAAGAACGGGTGTGCGGACTGATAGCGCCCGCCCCTGAGCCGGGGCCCGTGGCACCCAGGCCACAGGGGGGTCTGCCACCAGGGGAAGTGAGTCACCCACCGGCTCCGGTCACGGGAGCATGGGTGGGCCCACGCTGAGATCAAAAGCGTCTCCATTCAGGAGACGCGGGAGAAAAACAAACTCCTCGCAGAGTTCCTGCTTGGGGACCCTTTGCAAAGGGTCGAACCCAGAGAAATCTGGGTGTGTCAGCTCATCAGCCCATTGATTGAACTCACGGGGCACGTGGTTGGCCGCCAGCGAGCAGCCATGGGTGTGGAGCAGGAAGACCAGCTCCATCAGGATCGCCGCCGTGTAGGGCTTCTTGGATCCAAGGTTGAGCATCGCCATGACGTTACCCTGGTTGTCACTGCCCACCGGGAGTCGGACCCGGGAGGACAGAGGGCCTTGGTGCGTGAGGATCATGTTACAGAGGAAGAGCGTGCCCAGCATCTCCAGAGCTGCAATCCGCCGCTTTGGATCCCCATTCTTGAAGGCCCAAGGGTACTCCTCCACGTGGATCTGCTCGTGGAACCAGTACACCTCTTTCTTGTCCGGCTCCACTTTGTTGGAGCACCAACCTCCCACAAATGCCAGTCCGTCGTCCGAGGCGCTAGCATCGCTGCAACCCCACCAAGAGGACTTCGGCAAGTAAGGGGAGTACTGGACGAAAGGCGTGTTGAAGAGGAACCGCAGCATGAACGCCAGCATCCTGACCACCTTGGGGGGTTTCCCCACCGTGGTGGTGGCCATCTTCCAGGCCCAAAGTGGCTGGAGCATCGACTTCGCCAGCGGACATGCAGCCGTCGCCCATTGGATGCGACCCAGGGCCTTCTCGATGTCCTTTGAGTGCATCGCCTGCCCTTCCACCATAGTCTGCAAAACCTCCATAACCAGGATGTGTTTGTTGGCTGCCATGAGGACCTGCGGGATGTTCGGGTGGACCACGAAACCCAGCCACGTGTTAACCTCCGCCAAATGCGTCTTCTTCCAGCTAAGCGGGGTGCCCAAGGCCAGGAGTGTTGCCAACAGCGCCACCGCCAAGTTTGCTGCCCCCCCTTCGAAGCAGCCACAGGAAGTCATCGACAAAGACAAAGTTCCAATCCACTTGAGGGAAAAGGGCGTAGAGGACCCTGAGCAGAAGGGCTGCCAGGCGTCCCCAGTAGGATTGGGCACTGGCCATGCCATATGTGCCTACCTTGTTCACCCACCATTCTTCCCCCAGTGAGGCCACTTGGAACCGCCAGTCCTTCCTGAGGACCTTCACTCTCCGGTGGGCCTTGGTGACGTCCGCCTTGAGCAGCACCCACCTGGTGCCCGGCTCCGGCCATAGCCAGCCCCCAGGTGGAGGTTCGACGACCCCCCTCTCGGGGCCAGGGGCACCCTGAGAGGGGGGTCCCTCCGCAGCTGCCGCATGTAGCCAATGAAGAGCTTGGACCCCATCCACCGTCGGAGCCGTCGTCCTTTCCACCGTCTGGTTCCTGATGGTGTCATTGGCCCCACCCACCGAGCCATCGTAGATCGTGCGGATCTTGTCCCCCTCGTCGATGCCCGCTAGGGGGCCGGGACAAAGGTCCTTGATTTTGCAGCCACAGCGCGATGCTGCCTCCACCTTACTGAAGGGGCCCTCCACCATGCCCATTGGGACCTCCTCCAGAAATGTGCCCCTGATGAGCTCGCTGAAGTGATCCGCCGAGGGGTAGTTACCGTTGGGTGAGGGAGTTTCTGGAACTCCGGCTCCTCCCCTTTCAGCTCCTTCTTGAGTGGCCAGATGCCCGGCGAGGTCAGGGGTGGGTCCGTGACCCCCAGTCAAACCCCTTGCTCCAGATCCCGGGGAAACTGGTGGTCGGGGTCCTGAATGTTCAGCACCACGCTGTGCAGGTCGGCCCCCGGCGCCAGAATCTCCCTGATGTCCTCCAGCAGGTCCTCTGGGAAGGGATGTGACCCATCCCCCAACGAGAGAGACTCCTGGAGCTTGTCCCCCCACGGCGAAGTGAGGACACAGATCTTGGCCCCCAGCGCTGCTGCTTTGGCAGTGGCCGGGTCCAAGGGGCCAACCGTCCCAATGAGGGCTTTCCTCCTCCGTCCCTTAAGGGACGCTGTTTGAAGGCCATCTGAAGGTACATGACCTTGTCGGAGAGATTGGGGTCGTGCGTGATCGGCAGGATGGTGGGCCGATCCGAGATCTCCATGCCATGGTGTGCCCATGGATCCGGGGAAAGAGTTCCCCCCCCAAGTTTATCCGCCTCGCCAGTCCTCTGTGTCGATGTCCGGACCTCCGGGTTGTCCGAGGCCGAAACCGGGAGTGAGCCCAAGGTTAGTCCTGCCAACGCTTGTTGGCCCGCCTGCAGCCTCCGGGACTGGCGCTTGTTGTCCCCCGGCGTGCTGGGAGAAGGTTCCCTCGGCCGCCTCGGGGGGGGTCGTTGGGTTCGCCTGGGGCGCCGTGCCCCCCGGCCTCAGTGCCTCCAGGACGGGTCCCGCTCGGCAAAGGATGGCCGCGGCGAGACCCTGCATCATCTGCTCTGGGTACCGGCTGAGGTCACTGGAGTTTAGCTTTTCCCCCCTGAAATGAGCCCCGTGGTTGCAACGCAGATCATGCCAGTGGTGAAGTGGAAGGTCCGTTGACAATGTCGTGGACTTCACAACCACCTGGCCCAGGCGGCACTCGTCAAACTTGATGGGGGAGTGGTGGAGTGCACTCGCCCATTGAATGTAGGCCCGCGTGACCCAGATCGATGAGCACCTCGCTGCGCTCGGGCTCTTGCTGCACTCCATCGGGTCCATCGGGTGCTCCAAGAAGGAGGAACCCATCTGCGGAACCGTTAGCTGACCTAGCCCCTTGTAGGCCAGCGAGGTCAGGTACATCTGTCGGAGCATGAGCACGCTGTCATTGTCCGTGTCCTCCATAACCCGGGGCTCCAAGCCCTCCAAGCCCCATAGGGTCTGCTCTGCTCTGCCCCTCACCGGCGGTGGGCTCGCGGCTTGGGGAACCATCTGAGGATGCTCCACGTCCTGCAGTTGGGGCCGCCCCCCACCAAGGCGACCTTGCCCGCCATGGCCATGGAGCACATCGCAGAGTAAGGCTCCTCGCCCAGCATGTCCTGTCCAAGGTCTCCACCCTTTCGCCTGATATCCACCGCCCAAATGTACTCCGAAAAGGCCGGGTTGTAGGCATGGAGGTAGGCATCCAGGGCCCCCGCATCATCCTTCCCCGCGTACAGCAGGATGAGGGACGGCTTTGACGACTCCGGAACTGGCCGTGGCGTCCACCTCAGTCTGAGCCTCAGTCTTTCCGGGATGTTCTGCATCCATGGGAAGGTGGGGCTTGCCCCCCCTAGGGATTCCGTGTGTCCTTTGTCTGGCTGCTTGCCCTGGCGGTTCTTCCCGCCCTTGGAGCGCCCCTTGCGGGCGGATCCTCACCTCTGGGTCTCTCTGGGGGGTCTTCCCACTGCCTCGGTGGGTGCGGGGGAAAGGGATGCTTCCGCCCTTCTGGAGTGCCCTGGCTGGGACCGCTCCTCTTCCTCGGTGGAGGGGCTTCCGGGGCCGGTGGCACCCTGGAGAAGTCCCCTCATGAGGCCGTCCTGGCCTCCCCCGCTCTGTCTGCCTTTCGCTGTGGCTCTGGTGGGGTCGGCTCTCCCCCTCTGTGTGCACTCTCTCGCACTGGTGGCCTGTGGTCCCAACTGAGACCGGGAAGCCACGGGGCCTATGGCACCCTGAGTGGCCTCCTGTCACTTGGGAAGGTGAGGGCATGCCTGTGGCACATGCTTCGATGGGGGGGCATCGCAAACCCATCCATCCTTCCTTCCTGACCGGGCAGTTGTGGGATCGGCCGCATGATCCCGAACACTTGTTGTGGAGGTGATGATCTCTGCAGCACGCCACCCCTTTGGGATTCTTGAACGCACAGTGTTCCGGCCATGGAACCGAGGGGGAGTTGGGGGACTTCCCCTTGCCGCCCTTGCCCTTTGGCTTGGACCGGGTCGGCCCCGAAGGCCAGGAGCCTTTTCCCCCCTTCTTGGGCTTCTCCCACTGAGTCTGCCACACCTTGGGTGCCTTGCCCTTGCTCTTCCCCTTCTCCGGCGCCCTGTTGAGGTGCTCATAGACCTCCCGTTGCCAGAAGAGGAAGTCGCCCCTGATATTCTTGAGGGCATCGGAGAGAGTGGTGCCCTGGTGCACCATCTCGTGGATCTTGCGCCATGCATTGCGCTCTGCAAACAGCAAGGTGGTGTCGCTCGGGGGAGGCTTCCTGCCGGCGATGTCTTCCCCATAAAACCAGGCATACCAATCATCCAGCTCCTCCTTGGTGACCTTCAGGTTGCCAAACTGTGGCAGTGCTGCCGTGCACATCAGGAGCGTCGTCCTGAAGGTTAGGTGCAACCGTTCCAGCTGGCGCCGGGATGTGGGGTGGCTCCTCACCTCTTCTTCATCCTCCCTGTCCCAGCCGTCCACCGTGATCTT